AAACAGTATTTTCCATCGCATGCAGCAAGCAGAACAATGCTGAAGGAACCTTTATAGTTAAAGAACGCAGACCCCGAAGAATTAGGAGCCTGTAATATAAAACATATGTAGAGCCAGTTGATAGTTATTAAAAAAAAATAAATATTGAAAAAGAAAATTATCTAAAAAAATTTCTAAGACTAAAACCTTTAAACTGCATATACCTTTAAAAGCAACTCTAAATTTTGAACAAAATATGCCAGAGGCATGCCTCATTATAAGTACAGGGTGTCCCTAAAGTCTTCATCCAGTTTGATAATGTTACAGGTTGGAAATATTCATTTGTGCCAAGCAGCCACAGGTCACATTAAACATGGTGTAACTACAATCATTTTGCATTTTCCAATAAATTTGGTATTTTTTTAAGTCAGTGCAACATTTTGAAATTAGATAAAGACTTAAGAGATACCTGTTATTACATTATATGCTTCACGTATAGAACAAATATCCAAAAATCTAATAGATAATTCATAATTCAAATATCTAGATAATTCATAAAACTGATAGCAATTATAAAAAGTGTATAAATATATAAAAACTTCCATTTTGTTAAAGTACAAAATAATATATTTGATAATGTTTTAGTGACATTACTATGATACTAACTTATTAATACAGAATTTTTTTTACACAAAAGTATTTCACATGTAGGCTTACCATAATTTTATGGTCCAAATCAGGACATATTTAAAATCAAACTAACCCAGAATATATTTTTGAAATTATTTAAAAGTCTTAACAGTTTACTGAAACATTGAACTTTATTTATTCAGTAGTATTTTTCACTAGACATGACTTTTCCCAGAAATGGTTTATAGTTTTAATTACACCATAAAATTCCCAACAAGAAAGTTATGAATTAATTTTAACATTTAGCAGATGTTTAACAGTATCTAACTTTTAAAATTATATTTACAGTTCAACTCTAATTATCTATCAGCTTCGGAATCATGAATGCAATAAATATGTAAATAAATAAAAACATTTCCTACTACCACCAGAAATAGGCAGTTGACAATGAAGGTACAGTTTTAGTATAGCATAGATAAAAGGTTTGGAATCAAAACTTGGACAAATAAAATAAGCTACTTAGCTAGTTTACTGTTAAAAAGGTAATATTTTAAATATATCCAGTACAGTGTCAAGTCTCAACATAATTGATATATCGAATTTATTTAATGTTATCAGAAGTGGCTTTAAGGAGGCAGGCAAAAGGTAGATCAATGTGAAGAACAATCAGGATTTTTTGTTAGACTTTTAAAAAAAGAAAGTTTACTTTTTTTCATTTAGTATTAATTATTTAAACTCTAATTATGGATTATCTCTCCATTTACCCCAAGTAAAATTTTTGGTAGCATTCCTAAAAAGCACATGTGGAAAGAGTTTAATTCACCTAATAATTGCCAAAACTTAGCCAGTGGTGTAACAAAATGATGTATTTTTATAAACATTGTCTGCAAACAATTTAGGGTTGCTATGAACATGAACTACAGGACATGAAATTAACAAGTGATTCTAAATCAGCTAATGATGTAAATGTTATGTTTAACAAATGATGTAATGTAAACAAATTTAATGATGATACAATGTTTAAAAAATTTTTTTGATTTATATGAATGTTTGACTTGTCCTCTTTTATTTTATTTATTTATTAGCCCAGAAGGGCTTAATTTCGTTCTGGCATTCTGCGTTGGTTCACTATAAATGTCGTTTCACTTTTTCAAACTATTGTCACCAAATATCAGAGCTGCATTATATTTAAAGAAATTAAATAATGATCCAAAGAAATAATATAAGAAGTATTACATCCCATAATTACTGAAATTGCATGTCAATTTTTTTCAATTTTTTTAATTCTACCTACTTAGATTTATTTACATGACAGCACAGTATTATATTCTTTCACACAATATTTTAGCTCTTATTCCAAACATTTTTGCTCATAGAATAAATGATGTATTTTAAAGAATTTTTTTTTTATTTTTGTTTACTTTTTGTGAGATTCATACTATTTCTGTGGATTATTGGATAATAAAAATTCATAGGATAAAAGACAGAAGGACAATTGAGTTTCTAATTCATACATATAATCTTATTGGTTTAAAAAATCAATCAGCACTATAAATGAAAAAGTTACCTGCATTACTATATGTTTCCCATCAACAGCTCCAATGCAGTTTGGAAATTCCCACTCATTGTTTATAATAGTTAGCTATTTTCCCTCCACTTTTCTGTTGTGGGTGGTTTTAATACCACCACTGGAGACAAGTTAACCCATATAGCATCACACACCTGTCTAACGATTTTTGAAACTGTTGGTTTCCCAACACGAAACAGGTAGGAGATGCTGGTCATGGAATCACCACTCGCCAAGAATCTGGAAAATAATATACACTTGAAATGTCAAAGAGAAAGATATACAATTATTACCTTTCAAACATAAAAATAAAAGATGCTGCATTTCCAATAAATTTAATTAGGTTAATTCTACTTATGTATTATATGTTTGCTATTTATCATACAGAATATCTTTATTGTAAATCATTTCAACCAAGGAATTAAACAGATTACTTTACTAGCTTCTTTTATTTTTATTACTGTCACTAAATATATACAATAATTAATAGCATGCAGATTTTAAAAAAATGAAAAGTAACTAATTAATTAAATAGATTTATACATTGCATTATAAAATAGTTTTTTTTTATAAATATTAAAATAAATGACGAAATATGCTATGGAAAATAGAATTAAAAAATGAATTTTAAATAGTGAACTCTACTTACCTTATGGTAATAGCTAATCTTTCTTTCTTGTGCAGAGATGGGATTCCTGAATGAAGTGGCCTTCATTGTAATTCGTGGACCAACAACTGATAACAATTCATCAAATTTTTGCGGAGTCATCCGGAAGAAATTAAAAAATGACTCAGTATCCTGCAGTCGCATTTCGTTTATCAGATTTTGTTGCGCCCCTTGGTCTTGTCGATTTAGGTAAATTGGTCTAACCCACCATTTCCTTTCAGAACCGCTCCGTTTTGCTTCCCGTTTCTTTGATAGTAAAAGAAACAAAACTTTTCTGCGTTTTACGTCAGGATCCATATCAAATTCAAAACAAACAGCAATCGCTTAGCGGGAAAAGATCAGATGTTCAGCGTACTCTCGCGAACAGGTTGTTTGGCGCCAAAATATTACAGTGACACCTAGCGGCGGTAAATGAAAATATTTTACGGACGCAGCAGTGGAAACGCTTGTACGGATGCCGTAGGCGTGTCTTCAATTGACGCAACGCGTTCGTACGCAGTAGTGGAAACGAGCCTTTACTGTGATCGTTTAACGCGACTAAGTCACAAGATGGCTTTACAACGTCACTTTTCTTCTGCAGGTCCGCTATAAAAGAATATTTTATTGTAGGCAGTGATCGTTCATTCACTTTCGTTTCAGGCAGAAAGACATTTGTTTTCTCTATCCTTTGTGTTTGAGACAAGACTTTACCCCTTTCTATAATGAGGGGAGAAACTTCGCTTGAGGGCTCGAGTTCGCCTTGTTCAGACTCCAGTGGACAACTTTTTCCCATTTCATTCTTTGATTGACTCGGAGCTCGAATACCTGTTTTCATCTGAAAGAAAAGTTTATCGTGTTGATCTACGGCTAATTTTTCGGCGGTTCTGTTTCCTAACAGATAATGTTCCAATTCATTTCGAGTGACCGCTGCTTTTGTTGTTACTTGGCCAAAAGTTCCTTCTATTGTAACGTTTGCTAAGGGTACACAAATTGGGGCCTCATCAAACGGGTGTTTTACCCAAACAGTCTCGCCCGTCAGCATCGAAGGAGTGAGATATTTCTTGCAAATTACGTCAATGCATGACCCGGTATCTCTCAAAACTGGCAGATCAAAACCGTTCACTTTAGCCATCGTTAGATACGGGGCTAAACAATCTTCTTCAATCTCCTGGACTCTATTTACAATAAACGGAGTTTTGAGATCCCTTTTAATTTCCGGACATTGAGGCCTTAAGTGTTGGGTTGAACCACAAGAATAACACTTAATTGGTCTTCTCATATCAAATTGACGCTCATCCTGATTCCGGAGATGTTCCTTTCTGTCAGAGGCATATCTATCTTCCCCTCCAGACTGGTGATACTTTTTCGGATCCCTCGAATTTAAATTATTTTTGTATTTCCCCTTTGTGACTCCGAACTATGAACAGGAGAGATCTTCTTCCGGGGTTCACGCACATTTTCATATTCTTCCAGCATTTCCGCTAATTTCTCTGGAGTCGTTATCTTCGACCATTCGTCAATAAAATGTTGCCGCACTTCGGCATTTACACGACGCTTCATTTGGTCCGTTATCATGAGCTCCTTTAAAAGTTCAAAATCCGTAACTTCCAAACCTGCAATCCATTCTTCAAAGTAATTCCTTAATTCAAAGGCAAAGGCAAAATCTCTCCAAGTGGTTTGGGGGTGTTTCTGAGATTGCACGAATTTGATGCGAAATTTTTCTGGACTAAGTTTGAACCTTTTAAGCAGTATCCCTTTTATATAAGCGTAATCATAAGCCTGCTGTTCTGGTTCTCGCATAATCAGCTGAACTATGTCAGTTGGCAAAATTGCCAATAAAACCGAAACCCATTCTGATTGGTGAAGATTCGCACGCTTTGCTTGGCGCTCAAACATGACTAGATACAAACTGATATCGTTCTCTTCAGGATAAAATTTTGGCATCTTTTTTTAGATCGTATCGGTTTTTTTTTTTTTTTTTTTTTTTTTTTTTTTTTTTTTTTTTAGTCCATTTTCTTCATTCCCACCATTTCCAGAGTCATTTCCGTTAGCGGCTAGTAAACGTAACTTGGATAATTCAAATTCCATTTCTTCTCTTCTAATTCTATCCTGCCTTTCTTCTTCTTCTCTCCTAATTTTTTCCTGCCTCTCTTCTTCTTCTTCTCTCCTAATTCTTTCCTGCCTTTCTTCTTCTTCTCTCCTAATTCTTCTTTGCCTTTCTTCTTCTTCTCTCCTAATTCTTTCTTGCTCCTTTTTTTCTCTCTCAAGCCTCGTGGAGTGATATTTTCTAACAGGCCTTTCACTAGTTCCTCCTCATAGGATTCATTCATTTCCCATAATCAGCTGTCTTAAATCCAATATCCTAAGTTCAGGGCTAACTTTTTTTTCCCCCTAACTCTTCAGCCAAGGATTTAAGATCCTCTTTCCTAACTTTTGCTAAGAATGCCATGATATAACCAAAATTATGATCCTAACAATTTTAGCTCCCTCACACTACAGATACATACAATTGATTTAAACAGATATCATTTTCACAAGAGAGAGTAAAAATTAAACTTTTATAATTTTTTTCACAACCTATTTTACAGATGTTAGACAAAAACAAGACAGTTTACACTATAATATGCACATTATGCATTCAAAAATAAAAACAAAAATTGTCTACTTGAGGACGTATGAAACTACAAATAATATTATCCTCTGAAAAGCTTTAAATTCAGTTGCGTAAAACACACTTGCTTATGATAATACAATATACTTTCTTTCTCAAAATTTGGGATATGTTAAAATATGCATTCAGAAATACAATAAATTACACAATACCTATCCATATGCTAGTAATTAACATTAATATGACAACAGTTAAAAGGAAAGATACTGGGGGTTTTATCATTCCCCTTTTACTCCTTCAATAGAAAAAAAAAATTCTCAGTTCTTACACAAATAAAAGTTTGACACACACCTTAACTGAAATTCTAATATTTATAACATTCAAAACGTCTTAGAAATGATATGTCAGAATGCCACCTAACATTAAAACCTTCAAGTTACAGTAATTCTACTCCTTTACACAATCCAATATATAAGTTTAATTTAAGCACAACACATTAACATTTCAGATATTAAAAAAAATCTATTAACACAGGTTTAAATTCTAAATTTTATACTTTCTTATTGTAACATAAAACCCAAAAACCCAAAAAGCACATTTCTTTAAGCTTTACAGGAACAAGTTGACTTAAAACAGTTATGTGAACTTACATACTGATTTACAGAAATAAATTAAATTACTTTACTGCCTCAATATAAAAATCCAAGGTACTTACTTACCCGTCTGGATTGGAGAGTTGAAATGGTTGCGATGCAAAACCGGATGCCGTCAGAACTTCGCTTCTCACAATTTAAGATTTTATGGACACTGATGATCCAGGCACCTATATGGCATACACACAAGATCTGATGATCTAAATTTTCTCGATCACAAGGGTGATCACCCACATATCACTTTTTCAATACTCTACACATCACAATGATCTGATGATCTTCGGACAATGATTGTCCCACACGCTCACTGCGGTAAATTTTCTCGAACACAAAAGATGATCGCACAAGTAAGCACCTTTATCATCGTGCTTAAAGATGAGCTTATTTCAGGAGACTGTCGTTCCTCTTTTCTGGACTGATGTCCGTAACTTCTTCGTGGATTCTATTCCCCACTTCGAAGAGCTGTAAATCACTTTTCGAACGGATGTTCGTAAATTCGTGCTGCACTTCAGAGCCTGGCGGTCTGCACTATCTGAAAACACTGATGATGTTCGGACAATGGCTGTCCTACAAACTCGAGATGAATTTCAGACTCGGACGGTCTGCAATCTCTGCATGGATTTTCTTATCTCACCGCTTCGGAGAGCTGTAATCACTTTTTCGAACTGATGTTCGTAACCTTTCGTGTTGCACTTCAGAACCTGACGGTCTGTAATATCTGCAAAACACTGTTGATATCCGGACAATGACTGTCCCATAATCTTGAGATGAAGTTTAGAGAGCCTGACGGTCTGTAATTTCTGCATGGATTTTTCTCATCTGAACCGCTGCCACCAATTATTATAGTCTCTAGGTACCGTTGTTTTTACATAATGCGAGAAACGTACATACATTCATACAAATTCTTCATTATTTAATTTATTTAAATATAATTCAGGGCACTAGTATTGGATGGCAAAAATTTCAAAAGTAAAACTCCGTTTTAGAGTGGACAACGCAAAATCCGAAAATGAAATTAATAGCTCTTCTGGGCAAATTGCCCCTTTGAGCTTTAAATAAAAGACGTTTATCAGTAGAAACTATCAATAGACATGGCCCAGATGGAATAGCGAAACATTTTATAGGATGTTAGAAAATACGCATTTAGACTAACGTTATATATCTTCTGTACATTTAAAAAGTGAAGAAAACATGTAATGTAATTCTATAAAAATTGTATGTATTCATTTGTAATTCTAAAAAAACGTATAATCTATTAGTTTTTTGAAGAAGGCAAAGAAAAATTGCGCATTTATCTTGCAATGATAAAGCAAATAGAAAAATTGTTTAAAACAATTGTTCGTCTAAAACTGGCGGGTACCCCATAGCTCTCTCAGTGTCTAATATGTCGAAAATAACGTGTTCACTCGCATAATTCTCAGCCTCGTTTTGAAGATAAAAAATCGTCAAAAGTGTACAATATTGTGCAGTAAATTTATTCGCATAATAGTCGCAACTAGACTTTCACAATGAAAAATTGGCAAAAAAGTGCAACTATTATGCGAATAAATACAGAACTTTCCTTCAGTTTAGATTCCGCTATAGCATAGGGACTTTCATAAGGATATGTTAGGTAATTATAATTTTCTATTAAGGTTTCACAAAGTATTTCATGAGACTCAGTTTTACGTAGAGTGGTGGTAAAAGATTTTCTGTCAATAAGGTTTGGGATAAAATGCTTTGCTGATGGTAAATTCTCAAGATTAATGCGCTACGTGCGATTCATGCGCTCTTACATACGATGTAGTTCATTCATACGTACAATATGAGAACTTAAACATAAGAATCCTGCTGAAGGAACATGTGACACTTCTTTATGATCTCCGCAAATAATCCATACTTAATAACTATATGTCTTACATATGAGGAGATGCTATTTATTTTCAATGCGCGAAAGAAGCGTTTTAAGGTTTACAGTGTGAATAGAATGGTAAAATGTTTTTAAAAATTGGAAATTTATAATAAAATTAGTAGTAAATTCTTAATCTGTTATTTATATCATCAGTTTTATTCATTGCAAATA